TTGTTTCGCCTCACACTTTCATATGCTGCTTTCGTTTGACCTCCCAGCAGCGTTCCAAATGATAGCCTCATCGCTGACGGATTTTGAACACCACTCAACTGCGCAACAGCCTCGAAGTCCTACCTGAAGATCAATGTCTCCATCGAAAACTGCAGGGCATAGGCTTTCCATTTGTCGGTAGGCAGCGACACCAAATGTAACAACAGAAGACAAGGACCAGACAACATATCGTTTATTTAGAAAATCAACACATATTTATAGATTTTCATGTACATAATTATAGAGTATTGTTAGCAGAAAAACATAGCCTTCTGATTGGTTGTTTTCCTGCTGAAGGTTATTCCGTCATCTCTTCGTTGCCGTTTCTTAAACAGTCCGGTGATATATCTGCTAATCGTATCCGCCCACGCTAAGTCTGCTCTGATTGTTTGTTGACTTGGTCTCTGTTCTTGTTTTTGTTCTCCTGACCGAAATTCGGGACGTAAACATTGATGTAAATTGCTGTCTACCAATTTTGGCTTGGAGACAGCTCTCAACCACAATAATAGAAAGTGTTTCACTTCGTCTAATATATTGTCTTCTTATGAGAATGTCGTCAGTAGTAGTTGATCCTTTTATCTAGTAAGAGTTTTTTTAATAAGGCCAACACATTTAGTTTACAGTGAAATTTGAATGTTTTGTATTTGTGTTAATTCTTAGACTCCGCCTCTACTTCTTTACTGTTCCCCTTTTCCTCAGCTACATAAGTAAGATTGTGTTATACTGCGAAGGGTGCTAGAAGTCGTCAGTAGGGCAAGTGGGGTTTTGCTAAACCAACTCGTTAATACTATTTGTAGATAGACACGTGAACGCATGCAAAAAACTCGCAAATATTATCTTGTCAGACTGTGACACATCTCCTTACTCAACTCTCTCCCTGCAGATCATCCGGTAGGTGGAACTGGAAGCAACTATAGGAGACTGTATGCTCGGACGGCTAAGTACAAAAACTCTACAATACCTCATTTGACAGGCATAATATTTTATATGATGAGAAAAGTGTGTGAGACAGTAAATTACCAAATTACTGAGAAACTCTAAGTAAAACGGCACTGTCTTTTGTCCTCATTCTTACATTGTCGTCAATATTTCCACTTGATTTAATTTGATATTCATTTCTTATTGAACAGTATTATTAATGTAAATGCCCTATCTGACTTATTGTCCCTCGACTTGATAGCTCTCCACTTCCTCTCCACTCTGCGTCCACTAAAAACGATGGAAGCCAAAAAACCACCACCGACAGCCTCTTAAAGCCGCGCCACCAATTTCATATAGGAGCTCTTAATGTTAGGACACTTTGCCAAATAGGACAACAAGCATCACTAGCCAAGACCCTGGCATCACGAGCCATTGATGTATGCTGTGTTTCAGAAACACGCATACAAGACCCAAGTGTGGTTATTCACCTAACCCCACCTGGCCAACAGGTTGAATCTGCAAAATTCACCTTGAGGGTGTCAGGAGATGCCACAGCTAGTTCACGAGGATTAGCTGGCGTAGGGATAGCTTTGAGTACTAGGGCAGAAAAGACATTGCTTGACTGGATCCCGGTAGATAGCCGAATGTGTGCTGTCCGCCTGAACGGATCAGTAAGAAGGAGGAAGGACTGCACTACTCGCCGATGCCTTTTCGTAATCTCCGCCTACGCCCCCACTGACTGCAGTTCAGATGAAACGAAGGATGAGTTCTACCAAAAGCTGTCTAGTTTGGTGGAAAGGCTAAACGCTCAGACATAGTCGTTCTAGCTGGTGACTTTAACGCTCAAGTAGGGAAATTGTGTCAATCTGAGAAGGATGTCGGTGGCACCTATGGAGTCCCGTGCCAGCGAACCGACAACGGTGACCGTCTCCTACAGTTCTGCTCTGATAATCATTTGTTTCTTGTAAGCACTAACTTCAAACACAAGGAGAGACACTGTTTGACTTGGAGACCCCCTTCATCAAACCAACGCTGGACACAAATAGACCACATAGCAATAAGCTATCGTTGGCGTGGGTCGGTAGGAGATTGTCGCTCCTTCTGGAACACGTGCGTAGATACCGACCATGCACTGGTCCGCGCTCGGGTGTGCTTACGACTGAACGGACGTAGGAAACAGCTGGCGGTAAAACCATCACGTCCCCAGCTCGATCAGGAAACTAAATCCGTATTTCAGGAAGAACTAGCTAAACACATATCTGTGTTCGACAGCTGTGCTCACCCTGAAGAAGCTTGGAAAAATATCCAGGCAGCCATAGATACAGCTGTAAAAGCTGTGAATAAGGTAAACCCAAAGGTGAGTAAAAACCACTGGATCTCCACCGCCTCATCCGAACTGATAGATGCTAGAAGACTTATTCCGGCGAGCTCCGAATTCAATGAGGAGCGAAAGCTGCACAAGAGGAAACTTACGAAAAGTCTCCGCAAGGACCGTGAACAGTGGTGGGCGACAAAAGCCAAAGAGATGGAGAAAGCTTTGAGGATAGGCAACACCAGGCAACTCTTTGGACTCATCAGGGAAACGGGTGGGAGAAGACAAATCATCAGTGAGACAATCTCGGAAAAAAATGGCACTATAATTAGCTCCCAGGATAGACGACTGGATCGTTGGAAAGAGCATTATGAGGAGCAGTTTAATTTGCCCACAGCCACGCTCAACCTTCCGAGCATCCAACACCTCCCTGAATGGGATATAAACACAGGTCCTCCGTCACTAACTGAGGTTACTAAAGCTGTCACCAATCTGAAACTAGGCAAAGCAGCGGGACCTGATGGAATGACTCCAGAGGTATTTAAGTACGGTGGAGACAGCTTACTGTCCGGATTAACTGAGGTACTAGGCAGCGTCTGGGAATCAGAAGAAGTCCCATCGGGTTGGTGTAAGTCACTGATTATCCCCATATACAAGAAGGGAGACAAGTCTTCCTGTGATAATCACAGAGGGATTAGCTTGACTAATATAGTATCTAAAGTCTTAGGCTCAATAATCATGCGTAGACTGAGTGGTGCTCGGGAAGCACAAACACGAGAGAGCCAGGCAGGCTTTAGACCAGGAAGAGGGTGTATTGATCATATCTTCACCCTCCGACAGATTCTAGAACATAGGCATTCCTACCGGCGTCCAACAGTCATTATATTTCTTGACCTAAAGGCAGCATTCGACTCTGTCGATCGGGAAGTTCTCTGGAGATGCTTGGCTGTAAAGGGAATTCCGAGAAAATATATTGCACTGATTAAGGCACTCTATTCGTACTCATACAGCCAGGTGAGGGCTTACGGCGAGCTGTCATCTGAACTGATGACGACCAGTGGTGTCCGTCAAGGATGCCCATTATCTCCTTTTCTATTCAACTTCATCATAGATGTGTTAATGGACTTAACCCTAGGTGACTTCAGCGACTCAGGGATTGACTTGCTACCTGGGAATAATCTCGTTGACTTGGAATATGCAGACGATATAGTCCTTCTAGGCGAAGACGCTGACGAAATGCAGAGTCTTCTAAACACCTTGAGCCGCAATCTACGAATGTTTGGCATGCGATTCGCTCCCGCCAAATGCAAGATGATGTTACAGGACTGGACTACATCGACGCCTAGTTTAAAAATAGGAAGTGAAGTGGTAGAGCACGTTGACCGCTTCACTTATTTGGGAAGTACCATCAGCCCCAACGGGTTGATCTCTGACGAAATCTCAGCACGAATACAAGGGGCTCGTTTCGCATTTGTTAGTTTACGCCGACTCTGGCGTAGACGAGATGTTCGACTATCGACCAAAGGGCGGGTGTACTGCTCATCAGTCCGCTCCGTCCTCCTTTATGGTTGTGAGACCTGGCCACTGAGAGTGGAAGACATGAAAAGACTAGCTGTCTTTGATCATAGGTGCCTGCGTTCTATTTCCCGTGTAAAGTGGCATAATAAGGTGAGCAACATGGAGGTTAGGCGTAGAGTTCTAGGTAAACAGGGGAAATCAATCGACGAAGTCGTGAAGCTACAAAGACTGAGATGGTTAGGACATGTGTTACGTATGCCAAGTCATCGCCTCCCTCGACGAGCAATGTTAGCGGATATAGGGTCAGGCTGGAAAAAAGCTAGCGGCGGTCAAACAAAAACTTGGCATCAGTCAATGAAATCCACAACAGTTGGTCTAAGCCACGTAGGAAGGTGTAGACTTCCAGGCTGGGGTCCTCGGGACGGTAAAAATCTATGGTTGGAAACAATTGGTGACATGGCTCAAAATCGTTCTCAGTGGCGCAGATGCATCCACTCCTTGTGACTTATGATCTCCAATGAAACTGTTTTGTATTTCTTTATTACTCCTTTGTCTCACACCTCTGCTCACTGTTTCTATTATGCTTTTCTTGTACTTTCTTCTCTTGCTTCGCGTGCTACACGGAATGTGGCGACTTGAACTTCCGCACATTTGTGCAAAGTTCTATGTCGAAAACAGACAGACAGACCCTGCAATGAGGAAATCAGATGCAATACCGTATTACTACATGTGCGGAATGAAACTGTTATTATTGAATCTTGCAGCCTAACCGGCTCTACAAGAATTGTATCATGACTCCCTCTGCAGTTCCACTGATGTCTAGTTTCTGTATGTGGTTTATTTTTCAAATTTGCAATTTTGTTACCAGTTTAACCAAATAAATTATCCCATAATCGGATGGTTTGAACTGATTAACCTCTGTGATCTGAGTCAAATTTGTTACATCGCTGAAAAACTCGGTCGCAAAACAAAGGAAATTGCCGTCTAGTCTTTTGCATCACTTTGATTTGACTAGTAAGCACTACTGGTCGTTGATGTGAGTAGTATCCGAGTACTTATTTCATATTAATCAGTAGTATGTGCATCTATGCATTTACGTCCATCTTTCAGTTTCTTCATTTCAAGTCTCATTTGTGAGTGTTTGTTGCTGTTGTGGTTGCTCTTTGTTAAAGCTATTATTAACATTATTTTATTTGTAATATTTCTACAGATTTCTTCTACTAAAGATGATGAACAGAATGAAGTTGCTGATTTTGTCGAGTCTGAAACACCCAATGAACAGTTCACCTGTAATCTGAACTGGATTCCACCGTGTGTAAATCCTCCAGAGCACCTATTTTCTCAGTTGCCTTATTCAAGGTAATTTAAAGTGTTGAGTGGTTATCATTTTCAAGTATATTGGTTTGTAGGGATTTAATTGATTGGTTACAGGATTTCATCATGAGCTGACATCGGTTAGAGAACACCTAGAAAACCACCAGAAAGTACTGAACAGCCAGCTGTTTCGTTAGCCTAGTTTGTGACTCTTCATAAGTACTCACCCACCCCACAGGGGTTCGAACCCAGGACCTTCTGGTTAGCGTGCTCATCGACCATTCATTCAGCCACTGGGACCCGATCTAATGATCGGCCCATTAATTTCAACTTCTGCCGCTTTACCACATAGCGCGACTGCTAGCCAATTTCTTTGGCGAATGTTTTTCCTCACACCTGACCTGCTGCACCCTACTGGTCACAATTAACCAGTAGAACCCCAGGTAACTACCTACCTACCTGAATTATCAGTCACTTGGAACAGATTACTTCTGATTTAGTAATTTACTTATCTATCAGGCTATGAGCTATATTATATAGACCATTTGATTTGGTCCTAGTAGCCGAATGGTTTACGACCTCGCCTTGCAACTGGGAGATAATCATGAATTCGCATCGCGGTGGATTCTTGAGGGTGCTGATGAAGAATCCCAGACTGGGACGAAACACATGCTTGTTCTCCACTGTGATCCTCTGAAATAATGTCAGCTCATGATTAAACCTGTAGAATACTGCCCAGTTATCTAGGCTTATATATATATATATATTAGCGGAATGGGATTCAAACTGGCCACCATTGACCAAGAAATCTTTTTAGAACAAAACAACGGATAGAGCGAAGAAATATGCACTCCTTTTCAATTAGTTCCTTATCATCGGTTGGCTCCTATTATGTACTCGTCGCCAAATTATTTTTATGTACTGGTCGAGAATTTAATAGTCCAGACGCAAGAAAGACGGAAATCAGAAGACCACTAGGTTTGCGATGATACTTCTATTTTCCAAACACAAGGAGAATCAAGTATATCACACAATAGTGTGAGAGCAAAAATATGTGAATGTCCGACAAGTGTGTGGGCGAATATTCAAAGTGAACAAATCAATAGACAGTCTTAACATGATTGGCTAATTATAATAATGATATCGATCCACATATACATAGCAAAATATAGCAGACATGACAACAAACACACATATTATATATAATATAAGGGGAATATACATTGTTAAAGGAGACAGCTTCATCAAAGTGAAATGGTCACAGACTAAGAGAGCAACAGAAAGAAAAAGCACCAAACATATATATATATATATATATATATATATATATATATATATGATACATATCAGCTCCACACTACTAATATATAGTTTTTTACATCAAAACGTTTTACCAATCAAATGATTATTTTAATTAATCAGTTTTATGTATACGGTGGGGGATGGGTGAAATTAAGAGGTTAAAGGTTATCAAAACAAATAACTAGTAGATGTTAGTGGCAAGATATCTAACCTTTGAAGTAGGGAGGAAGGGGTGACCTGGGGTTTTAGTGGGAAGCCGTGATCAGTAGGGTGCAGCAGGTTGAAGGTTAGGCAGTAACTGATCAAAAACGACATTGCGAAGTGATCGCGCTTTGTCATCAATAGGCAGAAGTTAGAATTCATGGACTGGTCATTGGATCGGGCCCCAGTGACTTAATGGTCCACGGGATCACCAATCTTGTAACGATTAAGTCCTGGGTTCGCAATCAGCTCTTGCCTGTTGGCTTGTTGCAAATTTTTTTCTTACTGACCGACTGGCCATTCAATCTTCAATATGGAGCCAGCGAAGTGAGCAGCTGTAGATAGAAGTCTACAACGCTTTTCGCAACGCGCTGGCCAAGTTTCTGACCTATATAAAATCACTGACTGACTTGACATTGGTGTTGAAAATCCAAGTCTTATTCTTTATACTGAGGTGGAGTGCAGAAGATTTCCAAACGCGTATCTCGCCTATAAGATTCTGGCCTGCTTTGACATCTTCATGCGTTCCGATTGCCTGTGGTTGGAACGACGCTAGCTGCCTAGATAAGTGAAGGAAGTAACCCTCTTTCAAATTTCTCCCATTGATTGTGGTTGGTGCTGGTTGTTGGTGCCGCTGTTGGTTGGCTGTTATCTTCATTACCTCCGTCTTCTCTGTGTTTACCTGGAGTCGTGTCTTCGCTGCTAGCCTCTTCAGCCAACTTGTCGGCTTTCACCTACAAGTCTGTATGACATAAGACATGAATCATCCTCCGCGAAATCCAGATCTTCTAAAGTCTTCGTATCAGTCTGTCCAACGTATTCCTGTCTTCTCACACCCTGTGCACAGTCTGCGGCCTAATCCAGTCCACCACAATTTAAGAATATCATCGATACTAACAGGTAAGCAGCCTTGTCTTACTTCTGTATTCACTTCAAACGCCTCTCCGGGTTTTCCTTTGTGGATCTCCTGACACCTGGTATTGTCATGTACACCCAGCTGTTGGATGAGTTCGATAATATAATATTTGGGCGGATAGAAACAAATAAACGTCTGATACACAATACCAATGACTAATTATTGTATTATTCAGAGATTAGGAAGAGAATATAGGTTTCTGCAGTGTTTACTCTGGCTTACCAGATTGTTGGCCAATCACAAGACAAATGATAATATAAATGGGTTCTTAGAGGATACTAGCGGCTAACTGTCGGTTGGCTTATTATGCTTCTACACTCACACACACACACACACAAGAATACAATGTTATACCTACCAAGCTTTCGTCTGTAGGGATTTCATACCTTACAGGTTTGTTCATGATCCCTGCGGACCAACACAAGCAACTGACTGTATACAATAAATTACTTGAAGTGCTTGTAAGAAGTCGTGACCAGCGGGTTCCTTGAAGTTAGGCAAGTGAATAGTTATTTGCCTATAACGCTGGCTGATGGATGGTTACGCACTGCATATGCATTGTGAATTGGCAGAGGTTAGGATTCATGAGCCTGCCATTTGGGTTGGGTCATAGCATATCTGTTGAATGGTCTATGAGGTCGCTTTGTAACCGGTAAGTCCTGGGTTTCGAGCTCAGGTGTGTACTGATGAAGAGTCTGAAATTAGTACGAAACAGGTGGATGTTTAGTACTTACGGGTGGTTTTCCAATGGTTCTCTAACTGATGTGTCGGCTCGTTATGCAACAATTATATTCTGTCTCTACTACGTCTTTTCTATATTTATGCTCAGCTAACGAACATTTGTCCTCATTTCTATATTCTATCTGTTCTTAGCCGGATGTATAGTTTCATAACATGAGTACACTATTTCGTTTGAGTGCATAAATAATAAACAAATAACAGTTTAAATTCTTAAAAAAAAAAGCATATCGTACTCATCATATTAAGGATGGTATACACTTGTGACCGGATTAAATGTTGTTTCTCATATGAACTCATAAACTTGTATACAAACATCCATCTTAATTCAAAAAGCATATACATGTATATTATTCACACTACAGATATTTCATTTTTAGTTCTTGATGCAGTTAGTTAGTTGTGTACCCTGAACTGGATGATGGTTTATTTCTGAAACTTTTATTGCCTTACATCTTAAGTGCATGCTGCAAATTGATGAATTGAGCTTTTAAATTTCTCCACGAGTTTATTAGTTATCTCTCTTGATGACCTTAAATGTGATTGGTTGCTTTTGTCTGTTTTTTACACCCTCTGATCTATTTGTTTATTATTTATTGATTGTTTTCTTGATCTGAAGTTTAACTTTTCGTGTATGAGATTTTATTTATGTTAATGTGCCCTGTAGCTGCCCCGATTCACTTGAATACCAGGTTTCTAAATATTCTCTGGTGTTCTGGATGCTTCCTCTGCCTAATATTTCAACGTTGTCCCAGTCGGAATGATGTCCATGTTTATCTGTATGCAGTGAGTGACATGACTAAGGGGGGAAGTGGATGTCATGACTTTTGACGGATAGTTTTTGATCATGGATGTGAAGACTTAATAGGGGGTGGGGTGGGAGAGCGTTCTTTTTGGCCAATGTAATGTTTGTCGTAGTCATTGCAATTTGTTTTGTAAATGATGTTGATTATATCTTTTGTCGCTGTTGAGTCTTTTGTTTGTCAAAGAGCCAGCTGAGTGAAGTGATTTTCAAGTGTTAGTTTGTAGGGAATTGATTGATTGGTTACAGGATTTCATCATGAGCTGACATCGGTTAGAGAACCATTGGAAAACCAGCTGGGAGTACTGGAGACTCTACAGAAGTACTCGCCCACCATAGTGGTTTGAATCTAGGACCTTCTGGTCACAAGGCTAGTGAGCTCGTAGACCATTCAGTCACTGGGATCCGACCCAATGATCGGCCCATGAATTCTAACTTCTGTCAATTCACGACATAGCGCGACCGCTAGCCAATGTCTCTCGTGGCGAGTATTTGTCCTCACACCCGACCTGCTTCACCCTGTTGGTCACGAAATGCCACTAGAACCAGCCCAGGTAACTACCTACTTGAATAGCGTAAGTCGCCAGTGAGCATCTCATCGATATTCAAGTGTTGGTTTATAGGGATTTGATTGATTGGTTTGTTGGTTTTTGTGTGACGTCAATTCCTAATGGTTTGAATAAATCTTGCAATGAATTCTGAGACACTCTTTACATATGTATGGTAAGATGATTTTCTTTGTGTTTTCCTTGGAGGCCTTTGATTCAGTTGATGGGTATTGAAGTACGCTGTGAAGATGTTGCCTAGATTATGGCAATGAAAGCGTCGTAAGTAGACCATTCAGCACAGAGTACACCACTACATCAAAATCATCCACTTGAGCTACATACAAATCTTCTCCATTAAATTTTGAGTTTAGATCACCTTGGCTATTAAAGTACTTACTACTGCTTGAGTGCTGTCGTTATAATTGGTTCAATATTCATTATCGGTAAATTTTGTTTTGATAAAGTCTCACAGTGTTATACAGTAATGTTTACTCATGACGTTTCGAGCACAATTTAGAGCAATGGCATTAAGTAGCACAAAAATGACCTAAATGATGAAATAAAACAGATAAAAGAGACGTTGGTGTTAAATAACTATCCTTTAAAATTCATTAGGAAGATCATTAAAGGCCAAAAACAAAATAAAAATAATTGTGAAACTAGTAATAATAACTTAAATAAGAAAGAATATAAGTCATCCACAGTTATACCATATAAAGAGGGGACATCTGAGACCCTACATAGAATTCTAAATAAAGCAGGAATTAGATTGGCATTTAAACCTACAAACTCATTCAGGGACAAGCTGTGTAGGTTAAAGGATCCAGTTGACTCAATTAGACAAAATAATATAATTTACAAAATACCCTGCAATGACTGTGAATGAGGTCAAGCATATAGATCAAAGTAGTAGGTCAGGGGTAGTCAGATAGTTGAAACATAAGAGTTCAGCCAAGTGTAGAATGGTTGACCCCGAGGAGGTGAGTAATTTAGAAAAAAAGCTCAGCGACTGCACTACATGGATTAACACACAACCACACAATATGGTGGGTGGGAGAGGGTTCAAATTCTAAAAAGTAATCTAAGTAGGTAGAGAGAGAGGTTGATTACTGAATCCTTGTTCATCGAGTCTACACCCAACACATGCAATAGGAATGATTCATCACTCATACCGGAAATATGAAAAATACTACTACCAATCAAATCAAGTGAAAAACAATCGAACTATATAAATGAAGTTAGGAAGTCGTGTGATTACCTTGATATGATTATGAGCAATAAATTGTGCTCGAAACGTGGTCATCAGTAAACATTACTGTATAACACTGTAGGACTTTATCAAAATAAAATTTACCCATAATAGAATTACACTCTACAACAGTGCACAAGTATTATTTTTGTATGTATAGTTCAATATTCAAGTATGTATAATCGTATAGATCAAACTCCATTTTGTTTGTTATATGGCCTCCTTGATATAACCATTATTACAGGTTTCGTTACGAGCTGACATCAGTTAGCTAAAGAGATAGAAAGAGAACCATTGGAAAATCAAAAAAGCCAGTTGTTTCGTCCTAACTTCGGATTTTTCAGCGTTATGCACCCAGCACCACTGGGGTTCGAACTCAGGGTCTTCCCACTATACAAGGCGAGTTTGCAGGCTATTTAGGTAGCTACTGTGTCTTAGTTCAATGGTCCGTGAATTCTAACTTCTACCATCCTGATAACTGAATGTCTTTATTCTCTGCTTTGTCTGGTTACGTAATTTCTGGCTTTCACCTCTTTTGCCTTGAATTACTTGAATAACTCTCCTTTACCATTGTATGCATACTTCGATTTCTTGTTTGGTCTTGAACTCTCCGTTTACAAACTATGTAAGCATAATTTTCTTAGCGCTGTTCATTAAGTTTGGAGTCTTCTGTCAACTGATTTTATGTAATAATTGCAAGAATTGTAACATTGTTTCTGTACATATGTAACAACAGAAAACAAGGGCCAGACAACAGATTGTTTACTGAGAAAATCAACAGATATTATTTATAGATTTTTATGTACATTATTATTAGCGTTATTGTTAGCAGAGAAGCAACGTCTTCTGATTGGTTGTTTTCCTGCTGAAGGTTATTCTGTCATCTGTTTTTTGCCGTTTCTTAGACAGCTGTTGATATGTCTGCTAATCGTTTCCGCCCACGCTAAGTCTACTGTGATTGGTTGTTGAGTTCCCCAGGTTAGGCTTTGTTCTTATTTTTCTCATGACCCTGATTCGAGACGTGAACATTGACGTAAATTGTTGTCTACAATTTTGTCTTGCAGACATCTCTCACCAAACATAAACTTAATAATAATATCTTAAGGCTGTAACCAGCTGATGACAAGCCAACGAAATAAACAACTATAGTACTATTTTATTCTGCACAAACTACTTTTGTTCCTTGCTTTATTCAAATATGCTACACAAACTATCCTTTTTTTCTTCACTTGTTCCTTCTTTTAGTGAATACAGCTCATTCAATGCTCAGCCGGCTTACGCATCATCACAGCCTGTTTTTACAACAGAAGGAGCAAATTTTCCCAAAATTGATCCTATAGCACGTGCTTGGTATGATGCAGGCTACCGGCTGGGTCGTTTACACGCTTTAAAAATGAAAGCGACATCATCTGTGAAAGTTTCAAACTCCTGAACCCCCCTCTTTTTTTATATCATCATTATGTTTCTTGGTTTTGCCCAATCGGTTTTCTATAACGCATTTTTTGTTAAAATTTCTTATGAATGCGTATATATTACTGATGTTAAAAAGAACCTCCAATATGTTCATATGCATACTGGTGATTCAGTATTTTCCATGATGTAAAAATTCATAAATTCATATTTTTAAAGCTGTTAGTTTGCTTTTTACCAGTTTTTTCTTCTGTTTTACAAAACATCAGTAAGAAGAAGTCGTCTTTTGGTTCAGTGTTGTGTTGGTGATTGCTTGCTAAGTAATATGAAGAAGGCTTAGGTTCAATTGTCGACTGACGCACTCTTAAACCTTGATTAGCCAAGTACCCAACCCGGAAAAGAGAGAAGAATGAACGACTGACTACCTGATTGGTTTCAGCGTAGAACTTTGCACCGGTGTGCAGCAGTTCGAGTCGTCACACTTCACTCAGCTTACTAAGTAAGAGATGGAAGTAAAAAGAAATGCAAGAGAAACAGTAAACGGAGTTATGAGATAACAAGAATAGTAAAATAGGAGAACCGTCTAGTTTTATTGAATATTATAAGTCACAAAGAGTGGATGCATCATCAGCCATTGAGAACGACCTTGAGCCATATTACCGATAATTGTCTCCAGTCATTGGTTTTCACCATCCATAGTACCTCAAGCAACCAGTCAGGAAGTCTACATCTCCCTACTCGGCTGACAGACTTAAAATAACTTTTGTGAATTTCGTTGACTGATGAAGCCATGTTTTGGTTTGACTACTACATGCTGGCTCTTTTCCAGCCTGATCCTATGTCAGCTAACATTGACCGTCGAGGAAGGCGATGGCTAGACTAGGCATACCTAACACATGTCCTAGCTATCTCAATCGATGTAACTTCACAGCATCGTCGATTGATTTACCCTCCTCACCTAGTGCTCAGCGCCTAACCTCCTCAATATTGCTTAATCTATTATACCACTTGGAACACGGGAGATGAAACGCAGACACTTGTGATTAGAGACAGCTAGCTGGCCTGGTTGTTCATGTCTTCCACTTTCAATGGCCATCACGTCTCACAGCCATAAAGGAGAACAGAGCGAGCTGCTCAGGGAATACAGATGCCCTTTGGTCGACAGCCTCAGCTGGATATCACGTCTATGCCAGAGATGGCGTAAACTGGCATATGCGAAACGAGCATATTTTTTGAGAGAGGATAATACGATCTCCTTTCTTTTGTTTCTTTGATTCTCTCCTTTCAACTGTGTATACCCCAAACATAATTAGTTGTAAGTTACAAAATGGTGACTGAACATACTTTTTACAATGACTTCGATTTATAGATAGAAAGTATAGTACAAGATGGAGGAGATGAGAGATTATGGCCAGTCGTGGAACCAGCCAGCTGAAGAGGTCGGCAGAAAACACAACAAAAAAATAGAGCTGTGTTACTGAAGCCCTCCCTATGTTCCATCCACTCAGAATGCAAGGGAATAATAATAATAATTTACCTCACTGGCTTCTCATCATCTGCTGATAGCCTTAAGATATTATTATTATTATTATTAAGTTTATGTACAGAAAAAATTTCAAACTAACTTGCATTTAGTGATGATAATAATAACAATAATCACTTTATTCCAAACAACAATAATAATAATCATATAGAATGGAATATTTGGCATCACTTAATCAAATAAAAGGTAATGCGTCGGTGGTATAGCGGCTAGGATGGTCGCCGACCATGCACATGGTCCGAGGTCCGATCCCCGGCCACAGACGCACTCCTTTACCTAGCTGAGCCAGAAATAATACTGGTAAATAGGAAAGGCTAGGCATGAGGCTATCAACCCCATCCTGTAAAAATTAAAAAAAACACTGCTACAGAAACTTCAAGCCACTAGCTTGAAGCCCTATATTCCACTGGAGAACGTGAAAGAAAAGAAGAAAAAATCAAATGAAAGATAGGATGAGAACTTGCAGTTAGGAGGATGGTCAATGAAAGACTAATAACTGCTTCTTTCTGAACACACATTCGGTTTCAAGCGTTTGATGATAGGGATAGTTTCAGCAAACTTGGAGGGAATTGAACTCTTTAGCCTGTTGATAATTTTAAAGGGTGTTGTGACCTCTACCTCATCAATCTTGTCAAGGAGGTGTGTGACGATGGCACTGTTGCTAGCATTCTTTCCCTTGAGATGTAGGCTTTTTTTACATTTCATTATAGATAAGATTTTATTTTGATAAATCGCACAGTGTTTACAGTTATATGAACTGATGACGTTTCGAGTACAAACTATTGCTCATAATCATATCAAGTTACTCACACAACTTTGATCTCTCATTTATATACATGAGTGGAATGGATTAGATATTGGATTAAAAATCAATGTGAGATAATGTACATTCAGAAATAATCGTACGAGTGTTGTTGATCAATTGCAATTAGATGGGAAAATTGGACGAGTGTTTTTACAGTCATAATAAGCTGCTTGTTAGAATGTGTTTGAATTGAAATAGAATTTTAAGATTATTTATTATCTTCTTCTGGTTTGACTGATGGCATGAATACGAGTGTTATTGATCTACTATAATCAGATGGAAGATACGACGAGTGTTTTAATAGTCATAATAAGTTTTTTTGTTAGGATGTTGTGATGTGTTTGAATTGAAATAGAATTTTAATATTATTTATTACCCTCTTCTGATTTGACCTGCGGTAATAATATCTTCCATATCTCTGGTATTTGCATTGAGTCATTTTTGTTGCATGTGTTGGGTGTGGACCCGATAAATAAGGATTCCGTAATCACTTAGCTATATTACTTTTTAGAATTTTAACCCTATCCCACCCTATTGTGTGGTTGTTTGTTATTGCATGAAGTGCAATAGCTGAGCTTTTTTCTAAATTACTTATCTTTTCAGGGTCAACCATTCTTACCTTAGCTAAATTCTTATGTTCTGTTAATCTGACTATCCCTGACCTACTAGTTTGACCTATGTAGTTGACCTCACAGTTATACATTTTCAGAAAATTGGAAATATCCCCTTCTTTCTAATCTCCCAATGTAACTGTTCCCGCAAATACATGTAAATTTGTATACTAATTGCATACATTCTAAGCTTGTTAAATCTGTAGTCTTTAAGAGCTCACAACTGAAAGAAGATATATCTTTCAAAGACTTGTAACCGACAAGGAAAGCCACTTCAAACTCACTCAGTCTGTTTGCCCAACGTTATTCTTGTCATGCGACCATAAAAGTTTCATGCAAGCATTAAAATAAACTACAGCAAAATGGAGAATATCGTATTCAATCCTCTTTGTAATGCTTTGTGATCAATGGGATATCAGATGGCAACTGCACCTCTCTATGAGCAAGCTGAGAACTTTCATTACAATCATCTCAGCCGTACTTCACTTTTTCCAAAGTGTTGTTGATCTTCTTCAACTCTCTCGAGTTCCGACTGGAACATAAAGTTTCATACTTTAAAGTTTAGTAGAACTAGCTGCCGGACCTCTTCCTATCTAATGCCTACTACCAGTTAAGTGAGGTTTAGGAATTCATCGGTCGGGAATCGAAATCGATCCTCTCATGTGATTGATGAAAATTCTACCATTGAACCAACGATGCAATGTGCTCACCACTAAGTCAGAAATGATCCTTCCTCTCGTCTCCCTATAGAGCGCCGCATTTCAAACCCTGGCGTCTCTCAAGTAGTGAAGCCAGAGCTCAGCTACACCCACGAAAGCACCAGAGCATTCCTCGTTCTGAAGACATGTTTCAAGTTGCCAATATGCCTCCCAACTGTATCACGTCGAATGTGTTAACATGACTAGTAATGTGACCAAGTATACTACATGCTATATGAAGATAATACGCTTACGAAGACTGTTCTAATCGCAAAATCAAAAACATATGAACAATGCTAGCGGCAAGTGGAAACAAGAGGAAGGGCAAACCATTGCCAATAGCGCTTCTATTGTCTCAAATAACAGTCAAAACGCTACACAGTGATGCCGATTATGTAGGTTGCAAATGGCCTTGACAGATGCTAAATTCACGGGTGCATTAAGATATATCTCACTCTTCACAGCTACTCACTGAAGATCGCCAATTCGCTGTACCACCCTTTCCACTTCAATCTTTCAAAAAATCCCCATTTAGAAAGCAGAAGGATTGATTGAAGAAATATTTACTTTTCAATTAGATATTTTTGTTAACAATGATTAGTCAGTATCAATATGTCAATGGACTGATAGTTAACGAAGAAAGTTAATAGAGACATTTAAAAGGTAGAAATGGTTGCAACAAATGGATTGCGTAATGCATAATTTGGGAAAATAAATTCTTTTACTTTCTAAGTGGAACACAGGGCTTCAAGCTAGAGACTTAAAGATCCGGTAGTAGTGGTATTTAGTTTTACAGGAAGAGGTTGCTAGCCTCATGCCCAACCCTCCCTCTTCATCAGTCTTATTAGTGAGGTTGAAAAGTGCGTTCGCCGGGGATCGAACCCTGAACCACGTGTGGCGTGGTTGACGAGCATTCTACTGCTGTGTCACCGACGCAGATTTTGGTAAGGATGAAGAGTAATTAGGGAATAAGCGCGTGCACAAGTTGATTGGACAAAGATTACTGACTACTTCACCCGTAATTATATGTTATCTTTGTCCAAGTCGTTTTATTTTCTTTAACAATCTCTTACGTAATCAACTTGTGCACATGCTTATTCCTCAATTACTCATCTTATCCAAAGTTATGCATTACGCAATCCATGTGTTGCAACCATTTCTAACTTTTAATTGTCTGTATTAATTTTCTTCGTTAATAATCACCCCATTGACATATTGATACTGACTACTTATTGTTAACAAACATATCTCCTTGTTGATCGGTAAATTGTTGTGTATTGTAATAAAAATGCTACACATAATATATTAGAGTAGAGGTACAATAAGATGAAGATCTAATTGAAAAGTAAATATTTCTTCGGTCAATCCTTTTGCTTTCAGATTTCTTATTTCCTTCCTGTGAGGCATTCGTGACCCACTTACTTATATCTCACTGCCTCCCACTGGTTATCTTTGCAGACTATCTTAGGTGACCTCAGCAGCCAATCAAAAGTATGCTCTCGTTCCTCTGCTGTTTCTGATAGTTATTCATCATCACATTTTTGATTGTCTGATTTGAATTCCTTCAGCCGGACTAGCTGCGATATTAGTGTTTCTTGCTGTTTATCACGGTTT